CAAGCCCCAAGCTATAATACATTCGAAGTTTTTTTTAAGAGTTTGCTCACTAGTACAAGGCTTCTAGTCGACAACATACCTCATCGTGGACCAGTGATGACAATTTATTAGAGATGAGATCGTAATGTTCACCATACACCAATCATCCCTCAAAACAGCAAAAAATCTCGAGTGATTTTGTCAGGCGAGCATTTGGTGTTGAACTTCCCGTAAGGATGCAAAACAGGCGCCAAATTCACCAAAAAAGATGACTATTAGAAGATGCAGCTTCGAGCGGAGCCCTTGAGGAAGTTGTTTGCTGCATAGGTGAAGGACTACGCACTGGACTGCAGTGGATCAAAACACTGAAGTAAATTCACATTAATAGCAGTAGAGAAATCGGTTTCAGTAGCAATGAAGAAGCGCAGGGTCGTGATTCCGACAACGTGCTAATTGTAAGAGTGCCAGTTGAAATCAAAGCACAGTTATCGCTGGTCGGTAGATCTACTCCGGAACAGCTTGATTATTCGATCCGAAACAGAACTGCCGGAGCAGAAGCAATTTTCGATTCTGAAATTGGCCCGGTTGTTAGTCATTTATATCAGGTAAGCATTCAGTCACTCATTCATTCTTGTGACAAATAATCAGAAATCTGAGAGCTCAAAATTTTTGTGAACGAAAACGATGAAGAGTGAATAAAAACAGAAATTTCCCTGCATTGGATGAACCTTCTTCTGAAGCGTTTTAAAAAATCACATGTGCTACTGATGTAGGACTTTGGTTTTGATGCTAATTTGAGTTATGCACTCGAGCCACTTTTTGAGCTGTGCATTCGGGCCATCTTTTTTCCCTGACTCTTCGTCCATGCAACTGGAAACTTTTCCAGTACAGTTAACAAATGCTGCGTTTCCTGGTAGTCAGCCACAAGCAGCTCTTAAGTGTGGGTGATTCTGTAAATGTTGTTTCAGGTGATAAATCGTGGTCCGAGTGCGATCAGTGGTGCATCGCTGGATATCATCTGGCCAAGTTTCGCTGAAAACGGGAGGCATCTGCTGTACTTGATTGATGAACCACAAGTGAATGATGCGAGCAAAGTGAAATGCCGTGTGAAACAGGCGCAAAATGTGAATCCGGATAGTTTAACGGTAATGATTTAAAATTAAACTGGTAGAACAAGAAGGCTATTAATTACTATCAGCCCAGTGCTGTCCTATCTTTTACCACCAGTGTACTGAAATCTCAGACGATTTTTTAATTTTACTAGTAATTTTATAGTGGTATCAAGATCAACACCACACCACCAATTTATCATCAAAATGAATGAACGAGTCGTAAGAGCGACTGTTTGATCCTAGTTGAATCCCGAGCTTCTGCTCGACTACAGGGTTGCTTCTCATGACTGAAATTAAAGCAGTTAATGGTTAAAAATTGTTTTATGCTGCAGATCTCGAATGAGCACATCCCAACCCCATCAGCGATAATCTATGACGAGCGGATGCCTATGCAACCTTATGAACGCGATGGGCAAGTCCGCGAGCAGTACGACGACTTAAAAATGAAGCAGCGGCGGATCCGAGCTCGATCTACCCATATCATTCAACGCTTGGGTACCGCAAAGCCACAACAGCAAATGATCATCGACGAGCGTAGAGCTCGAGCCATTCAGACAAAAACTGACATGAAACAAGCCGTTAAAATGGCAAAGGCTGCCGGAAGAGCTATTGAATACAAAGGACCACTGAGTAGAGCTACCGTGGTAAGTTCCTTTATTATTACTATTATTAACATTATTATTACTCTCATTATTATTGCTATTATGCAGTAATTTTGAATCGTGCGACATGTTGAACAATCAGGGAATAAGCCAAATCACTTAGAAATTGGAAGTAATTAGTGAACTTTTTCAGTGGATAAGATAATGATTTTTTCCTCCATACTCTGCGCGCTGTGAGGCAAGATCAATTCACCGAAAAAAGTTACTGAAAATTGATGTTTTTTGAACCTCCTAAATCATCTCCTTAAGATTCTAATATTCTGTACATTTTTATGACAAAAGCGCTTAGCAGAGATTGTAATAATGATGGTAATAATGGTATATGCCAGAAATACCAAGACTGCTTGGACTGTGTAGGGTTCTTTG